AAATAAAAATGAACCGTAAATTCACAATAAGTTCTATAGACATATTAATAACAATTAGTAAATCAAAAAAAAGTTTCTTACGTTTCCGCGGGCCATTTGTTGTTCACCCAATCTCAGTACTAGGCTACTGGTTCTCCGAAGTCATTACACATCTCCTTCGGCATGTAAGTGTGTACAGACTTCGTGCCTGTGTGAAACGGATGCCCACGATTTTTGTTAAAGAGGGCTATTGTATTTTGTTTACTTATCTTATTTCCAACGAGGAGTATCCTTCCTTTATTGTTTAGGAAAAAAAACTATTTCTTTATTTTCCTTATGACACTCAAACTACAACCCAAACATATATTTTTTATAGTTAAATATGTATTGTCGTTGTGTCGGACGAATGGACTCTATGTTGGCAAAATCAAAAGAAAAGGGTAATGAGATCGTGAAGTTGTCTTTGTGTGTAGCTCAGTCTATTTGTTTGAATTCTGAAGTGCGTCTTGAAGTACACGTCTCATTTGTTGAGTTGTCGGCCAAATTACAACAGCAGGAACGTGAAATAGACAGCCCGTCTTAGTTTGAAACTACTTGTTAGTACTTTGTTTCCAAACCAATTGGTCTGTGACTGTCTGTAGTAAAATAATTTACTGTTTTGTTGTATTTCAACCTTGTCATCCTTCATCAGTGTCTTCACTTTTTTGTTGTCCCCCCAACCTTCTCAGCCCAGTCAATTTCACTAACCACAAACAAACTGACCTTTCAACGTTAATAAACACCTTAAGTAATCCAGCAAAGGAGAAAAAAACTTCAGGTATATTTACCAGTATTAGCCACCGGTCATAAACGAGTCATGAACGGGACATTTATTTAACCACAAAGAGGTCATTTTTAACAGACGTGCAAACTATTTTGTCAGATACTCCTCAAGACCCAAAAAAAAAGAAAAATTTCCTTTAGTGGCCGTTTAGGCTAGTACCTGTGTCACACAGCCACTACAAACCTGTCAACAGGCGCACGACTCTTCCCTTTTGTTAAACTCAACTAAGCCATGAATTTATTTCTGCATTGTTTTGTTTGTCATTTTTGTCAAGTTAGTAACATGGTTCACATTTAAAGCTGAAATAAAGACTGGAAATGTAGATTTCCTGTGAGAGAAAATAAACAGTAGTAAATATAAAAGGGAGAGAGATGGTGAATGCATTAACAAGTGAAAGAGTAGAACACGTGTTTAACCTTTCCTATACTCAAGGAAACATCCTGCGTAGGTAGATTTAATGGAAAGCGGTAATGTACTGTATTTTTGGGAATTGGCTATCTTCAGATGATAATTGTCATGACAACATTGATTGGAGCATTGCTTAAAATGTGTTTCAGTTTTGGGGTTTGCTTTTACAGAAAAGTGGAAGAAAAGAGGATATTTATAGATATATTGTCAGTAGGGAGCATACATTTCATATAATTCAAAAATCATACAGATGATGTATGGATTTGGTCTTCACAGAAAGAGTTTAACATGCAGAGAATGTTCCTCTACACCAGGGGTGTCAAACTCAAATACACAGTGGGCCAAAATTAAAAAATGGGTAGTCGAGGGCCGGACTGGTTCAATGTTTATTGCAAAACGTATTGAAATGAACTTATTGCACATATTAAACCTAGAACTAACGAAGCTTAAATTGTTGTCGTGAGAAAAAAAGTGCAAAAGGAAACATCCATGTAAACTGCTCTGTGATGATAGCTCAAGCCAGATACTTGGCATCTCATCTTGGGTGCAAGTTCATCAATGTTTGGGATCAGGCTCTGAGCTGAGGAAATCCTCAGGATTGAGTGAAGGTGTGCGTGCAATATACCGGCGGGCCAGATCTAATAGTAATTAGAAATGTACCTGCGGGCCGAAATTAAATCCACCAAGGGCCTGATTTGGCCCCCGGGCCTTGAGTTTGACACTCTTGACGCTCTCTCGGCCCTTTTAACAGCAGTTCATCTTTTCCTTATTTGTAAAGTGTATTTCCTGTGTTATTTTTTCTGTGATAGTATAGAAAGGCTTTGGAACATCTTGGTCGGGGACTACTACTTCTGTGTATGCTTATTAATTGACAGTGTCACTTTGCTCTAATGGAAAAAATGGAAACGAGTGAACAGTTTATTTCATGTTATTGTTGTATTATCCATTCTTCCGGTGGGGGCGTAGTATAGTGTCATTGCCATAAGTGTTACGCAGTTAGAGAGTTAGAGTAGAGACGTCCACGAAGAAGAACGTAAACAGGAAGTCACACGAAGCGAATGGTGGGTTTTGTTGACGATAAAGTCTATCGTTTTTATTCTTAATATTTTTTGGGATCCACAAAAAAACTCAAAATGGGGAAGCGACAGCACCAAAAAGATAAAATGTGAGTATCTGAGGTTTTCCTGAACATACATCGCACGACGTGTGTTGTTGTTGCTAGCTTAGCTAGCTTATATGCTTTGCTAACGAGTTAGCTAACTTATAGCCCTTTTTCTGGCAGTATGTTAGGCTCAACTGTATTCAAGATTCCTTCAAACATACAAGATTCATAGTCTTTCCTGCTATTTATATGTGTTTTATCTGCATAACAAGGTACATCACATGTTCTGAGTACACACACTTCTATGGAGGGAAGAAATCAGGTGAGTTGTATTTCTTGGCTAAATTACCTTTCAATATACCTTTGTCAAAACAAACGGTAGACGCTAACAGTAACGGTTATAAGTAACTGCATGATTGTTGTCTTTTATATTTTACTATATTGTTTCCCTGTGTTGGAAAACTGCTAAAATAACGTCACTGAAAAAGTCAAGCTTTCAAAACATAACTTAAACAAGGAAAAAACAATAATGATGTGTGTGTGAAAATGAATTATAGTTATGTATTATTTAATTTGTTTATCACTTAATGTGGCAGCTGGTTATAATAATACATCGAAATATTAGCTAATTCGTATTTAGAATGGCTGCAACCATTTTTTAAATATTGGTTTCTTTGCCCGTTTAAAAAAAAATCCATGCTTGTGTAGTCTATAATTCGTCAAAGAAATTGTCCAATTAACTTCTCAAATAAACACTTAAAAGTCTTCAAATGTCTTTTTTGTTGACCAAAAGTCCACATACACAGGATACTCTCTCTTTTGAGACAGCCAATACTGACATCATTTCACAATTTCTGCCATATGTCTACGGTATATAAAAATGTATGTAAGCATCAGCTTAATAACATGTAATGTAGGCGTTCATAATATCATATGCAATCATATTTTTTTTAAAACATGCTATACAAAGACTTCCCCTTGTAACTTCAGAGTAGAGGGGAAAAAACGAGGTTCAAGGTTCTTTATTTGTCATACGAACATAGCTACAGAGTAGTTATGGCAATGAAAATCTTAGGTCACAGGTTTCTCCAACAGTGCAACACAATAATACAGAAAAATATAGTATAAGTAAATATTAAAAAGTAAATAGAAACAACTTATGTTATTAGATTAACAAGTTGGGAGTCACTATTTGACTGAATGAGTAGCTCACCTGATAAGTGCATGCCTATATACTAATGACAAGTCCTTAAAAAGGACCCAGGTTTGAATCCGACTCGTGGCCCTTTGCTTCATGTCATCCCCTCTGTCTCCAGTCTGTTTTAAGCTTTACAATCTTATAACTTGATTTTAGCTGCAGTAGTTGGACTTATCTGACAATTCCATGTATACTGCCACACTGATATTAATGCCATTTAATGCTTTTACTTTTCAGAAATCCCACAAGCAAACTTTAGAAGGCTTCCATTTGACCACTGCAGGTAAGAGATTCATCGGAACTGTCTTAGTTGTATGCTGCCCAGTAAGGTTGCGATTAGACCAGTAACACATTCTGTCCACACTCTTCACCAGCATCGAGTATAAATGACAGCAATATACTGTAATGCTCAGACGGGGACATTTTAATTTCTAAAGATGATTTCTGGGCCAGTTAAGCCTTTATTCATGACATTGAAAGGAGGAGATGGAGGGGATGATGCGTAAAGGGTTCACAGGCTGGATTCAAGCGGCTCTATATTTAGCTTTAACAATAAAATCTATTAACACCTGGTTATATGTGCATTTTGGCTCACTAACTGTAAGTTGAACAACGTTTATCAATGTATGCATTTTGACTGTTTTCTCTGAAACCTTTCAGCTTGTCCCTGCAGCCGTTTGAGTATCCTGTCTGTACTGACGAGGGGGTCGTCTTTGACCTGCTGTAAGTAGGATATGGTTCATACGTGTATGTCAGCCACTGTTACAAGGAGCTCTTAGTAAACCTCCTTTTAAAATTTGTTATTTCATTGTTGGTGTCAAACTAAAGACAAGTGGAAAGGAAATGGCAAAGATCTAAAAACAAGATGAGAAAAAAGGACGTTTGTTGGTAGACCATTAAATGCAAATATGTTGTGGTTGTGTCTTGTTTGACCCGAAATGAATATCCCTTCCTGCTACCTTGTGTTTCAGGAGCATCATCCCGTGGATCAAGAGGTATGGCACTAATCCAATCTCTGGAGAGGTAAGAAATCAATGCACATTAAGCAGCTTCTTGGTGATTAAAAGGTTCACTTGCATACCCTAGTTATTAGTCAGGTTCAGTGACACATAAACATGAATCTGCTACGAAGGAAAGAAAAGCATTGTTCCAAATGCAGCTACTAGCTACTCTTCTTGGGTAGGTAGACAAACACACAACTTTTAAATTGGATACCAATATAATTAGAAAATACAATACTTGACACATTTCTTTAATTTAGAGTAGTGCTTTTTAAGAAAAAGAATACAAAAACAAGAACAATATTTTTTATTTATGTAGTGATCTATGTAAAGATCATCATGATTCACGCTTCTCAAATGTTTTACTCCTTTTCAAACACCTCGATCGTAAATGTTATATGTTTTGGTTTTCGTCGGTCCGACAGATGTTTAAGATTTTCTGACATTTTATTGAAAGTAAACAGATTATTTGAAAGATTCACACTTCAGAGGTTTTTATTTTCATTTCCCAAATATGTATTTTTCAAGCTGTCTAAATGTGGCTGCTGTGACTCTCGTAGTGTAGTCTCGACAGTTCAATAAATGAACTATTGACAGCTCTTTATAAACATTAGCCCTTAACACTCTCAAGAGAAGTCTACACAGCAGTCAAATGTCCTCATTGTTTTTTAAGGAAAATGGGAATTTGTTTTTTAATTCGGTTTTGTGAAAATTCCTTTTTGATCACATTATTTGTATGATTACACACTAACACCTCAGTATTTCTTCTTCCCCACAGAAACTGGAAGTGAAGTCCCTCATCAAACTTACGATTGCTAAGAACACCGATGGTAAATCTGCATGTTTCCAGTATACTTTAACCTTAAAGGGTGCACAGGGGGATAATCGGTTGATATTTAGATTTCCGCTTCATTTCCTGATCACTCAAATCAGCCAGTCATTTGGAAAATAAAGGTCAAAGCCCTTAGCTCTTGTCTTTATCTTAAAGGGTTGACTTTCTTTTCCGCCTGTGGCAACAGGTTGAGACTCTGCTTCTGATTCTTCTTCTCTTGTTCCAGGAAAGTATCACTGCCCCGTTCTGTACAACGTCTTCACAAATAACTCTCACATCGTGACCAACAAGGTTACCGGCAATGTGTTCTCCAATGAGGTGGGTGAAATCACACAAATCTTTTAGTAACGCACATCAATATCTAAAGTTACACACACACACACACACACACACACACACACACACACACACACACACACACACATACACACACACACACACACACGCGCGCGCACGTTATTGATCGACTGTGTAATAGAGTACAGAGGCACAGCCCACATGATCTCACAAGACGCTGCCTTACATCACACTGAGTTCATTGTATACAAATGTTTTTCAAAAATAATTAGGGATAAACAAATGTACACATTTGATCTGATTTTACAGAAACATTACAAAAAGTAGAATTCAACTTTGTTTTTATTATTGTCTGATCAAAACAAAACAAACAAACCGGTCATATTGTTAAATGAGAATTAAAAAGAAAGTGCAACTCGCTATGTTATATGTTCTTCTTCATCTATTGGTGTATCTGCAGATACTCTATAGATATATCGTTCCACTGTTGAGATTTACATTTGAACTGTTTATACCTACTGTATATTTTTTAAATATTTGCCTAACTCATTTGCAATGTCTTGTTAATATTCTGCTGTAGTAAAACCATTTCCCAATTTGGTATCAATAATGTATATCTAAGCTAATCAATAAAAACAAAAACACAAAAATGAATTAATTATCTCTTTAACCTAAATTATGTAAATGTCCAATCAGGGTTGTCTATCGAAGCAATCCAATTCCTTAGTGTGTGCTATTGAGCGAGTTCCCCCTTCAGCACTGATCCTAGATCAATATAAAGGGTGGAGAATATTCCCTTAAGTCCGTACAAAGAGAAGCTTTTATTTATTTATTTCTTTACATTTCTGTTTCCACTCAGGCTGTTGAGCAACTCAACATCAAGACCAAAAGTTTTAAAGACCTGCTGACCGACGAACCCTTCACAAGAAAGGACATCATAGTACTTCAGGTGGGTTGTTGCTTTACTTCGGTTTGCAAAAAGGACTCATTATTTAGGGAAAAGTTTCTCTTTTTATTGATACAAATAAATAAATGTCTTTGCAGGACCCAACAAACCTGGATAAGTTTAACGTATCCGACTTCTTCCACGTGAAAAACAACTTGAAGTTGTTGGATCCCGGTGAGTTTTTGGGATGGGGAGTTATGCCTTTTTTAAATGATTTTCTAATCAGGTTCAAATGTACTTGGTTTTGGAGTAGGAACTTGCTGAACTTCACATTTCTAACCCTTTGCTGTGTTTTCCCTGGCACGGGTCAGATGAAGAAAAGGCCAAGCTGCACCCGTCCTACCACCTGAAAACCACCAACATGGAGACCAGGGAGACCTTAGCGGAGCTGTACAAAGACTACAAGGGGGACACGCTCCTGGCTTCCACTATGAAGGAGCCAGTGGACAAGAAGACAGACAAACTGAACGCTGTAAGCTAAAACACTAAAGAGTGTTGCAGGAATGTGTTAGCATGTTACCCTCATCTCAAAATCAACCTTTTTTTCAAGGGTTTTTGGTCAGAGGCCTGAAATAAGGTCTGTGGTTCACACAAGCTTTTATGATATTTTAATGTTCTGTTCTGAGACATTAGCTTTGTCAGTGAACACTCTCTGGTGAATGTCTGATACATCACGTCGTAAATTAGCCGCCTTTAGCTTAGCGAGGGGATACACAGCAATTTACACAGCCATCTACATTTTACAATTTATAGACCGTATACAAATGGGATGTCAAACATCATTATTTACTTCTTAGAAATGGTGATTTGGCATTCCTTACCCTATTAATTATTTTTTAATCAATCATTTCATTCTTCAGTTGTGCTGCTGTAGCGTTTCAAGAGGGCTTTCATTTTGTGTGGATGTGTCATTTTAACTTTGCCCACAGGAGGGAGCTAAACACACAGTAATGCATGGACACAGTAATGTCCGAAAACAACTGCATCCAGAAACGGAACAAAGACTATTCACAGTGCTGTGAGGAAGATTTCTGATATTTCATGCCTACATTAAAGGAAGTATATTTAAATAAAAAAATACTTATGTGTTCGTCCGAAACATCAGCCTTAGAGAGAAATCGAAAAAAACAAAGCCCTTTCTTACAAATGCTGTGAGTTCATTGTCTTCAATTCAAAATCTATTTGAGATACTTCCCGTTACCTTCCCCAATAAGGTCTAACTGTAGGAGGACTCACAGATGTGTAACTAAAAAGGTTGAACGTGGCCACGTGTACCACCGTGTCCGTGTCCTTGAATGACCTGATGAGGATGGTTCAATTTGAACGGCATCAACAACTTTTCTCGTCTGCTCTCTTTTTGCTATGTTGTTTTTTTTTTTTACACCTGAGCTATTCCTCAGTTGCTTTCCATCTCGAGTTCACCGTCGAGGTGACGCTCCGACAGCATCTGAGAGAGCAGGGAATATAGGTCAGACGGAGCACACAAGGTAAAGTCTGGGCTTTCATGCGCCTTCACAATAACTAGAGCAGAAGAACGCCAAACCAGGACTCCAGAATAGACTTGAGCTTTTGAAATGCATTTTCATCTCTGCTTTCATCTCCCCCAGTTGTTATACTATTGACTCAAATAACTCCATTCTCACCGTTTTATGGTATTACTGGATGCTGCATATTGCTATTCAGTTATTCTACTATCATTTTGAGATCAAAGAAGCTAAAAAAACATCTCCGAAGCTTCTTGATTAGGAAGTGGTATAAATGTACAAGCTGCAGAGTCTGTCATTAGGCACCACTTAGCGTCAAAACCGGCTATGCATATTTGGCTGATCATAATCTCTATAGGAATATTTCAAAACAGGGGTAAATGTACAAATTGGGGCTGAAAGTACTGGTTATTTATGATTTATATTTTTAGACAAACTATGATATACTTAAATGTTCAGGTTTTTCAGGTTCATATTTGTGTTTTGTGCCAGAGCCCAGTCTGCTCTGATTGATTAGCTGGCCGGCTCTGTTGTGAAAAAAATGTCCTGTCCCTTGGCCTATCACGTACAATTTGTTGGAAGGCTAGTCAATTAAGGCTGCTTTGATTGGTTAGCCTGAGCGTTAGCCAGTATAAGCATGAGTGTTACGCAGTGATGTCCCTATTTTACGCAAGTAAAAAAAGGAGTTCTGGGGAGAGAAACTCCCTCTGGAGGGAACTTTGGGATTTTAGCCTTTGCAGACCATTTACATGCACAAAAACCTATATAACACTACAGGAAAGGGAAAACTCCAAAAAGCACAAAGGGGGCTATTTAAATCCACATGTTGAGTTTGAGGCAGTTATTTTTAAGTTTTATATAAGGCAATAAAAGACACACATTTCAAGGGTAACCAAGTTGAATCAAACCAGATAATAAATAATCCCGTTTTGCAGTTTTAGTGGTGGTCTGAGATCGATACACAGGTTAGTTGACAGTCACTGAGCCTGAAATGCATTTCAAAGCTCTGAAATAAAACAGTTTTTTGTCAAGCAACATCAAAAACAATTCTGAGATGTCTGCATAGTTTGGTTGTATTTGAAGTGGGTTTGTTAATTGATTTATGACAATTTGTTTTTTATTTGTACTTAATTGAAGAAGAAAAACTACCATTCAATTGACTGTCTTTTGAAGACAGTCATAACATGGTAAAGGGATACCTTAACAGTGGGAGTAGTAAGAAGGGTTTTAAAACGCATCATAAAAGATGATATTTGTGTTTCTTTTTCCTCAGGCTCACTACTCTACGGGCAGAGTTTCTGCCTCCTTCACATCAACAGCCATGACTCCTGCAACAACACACGTAGCAGGCAAGTGATCATCATCATCCCCAGCAGACGGAGACATTAGCCTCTTCTTATTTAGTCTCTTTAATACTTATCATTCCAGGGGACAGTGGCTAGTCACGCCCGCTCTTTTTCAACAAAGTGCAGCTCTGTGCTCCCAGCCGAGTGTAGCTGCGTCTGGGAGCCGCTCAGTTCGCCTGTGATGTCGCTTCCTGTCATCCCCTGAGCTGCTAGGTGGGAGAGATGAGCTGTTATGCAACTTAATGTACAGCAGGTTCGGTTACCTTTTAGAAGAGGAACCTTTTGGATTTATTGTCCCCTTTTATGTTTCTGCGAAAAGGTTGGCGTGCCATTATTTCTATGGATGTGCTCCTAACAAAAAAGACAACCTAAGACAAAGGGTAATGCTGATCTTCTATTAAACACTAATTTACACTTAACCAAAAAGCTCTACGAATTTCTCAGTGACTTCAAGGTTAAGAAGCTCAAGTTACCAAAAAATGACTATCTGCCTTTTTTTTTCTTAAACTTGACACTTCATTAATTATACAATAAATTGTACACAAAACAACCCTATCAATTTGTGTAAAAAAAAAAGAAAAGTTAATTACTTTTACTTAATTTCGAATTTGGGGTACTACTTACATTTTTCCATTTTATGCTACTTTATTTTACTTAGTTTTCTTTTTTAAATGTTTTGCAGATTTTTGTTTTGCTTTCAAAATTTTTTTTAAAGGTCACTGACTGCTTTGTATCTAGGAAAACTTTGAATATAAACATTCTTTATAGGAGAATGAATGTAATCTAAAGAAACATCTGGAGAGGCTCTGGGGGACTTGCTGCATCAAGACTCGCAAACAATCAATAACATCTAAAAATAGTTTTTCAAAAATGACAGCCGCTGTCTTTCAGAATCATAGTAGTTCTATATAAAATATATATATATATATATACACAGTGGGGGAAAAAAGTATTTAGTCAGCCACCAATTGTGCAAGTTCTCCCACTTCAAAAGATGAGAAAGGCCTGTAATTTTCATCCTAGGTACACTTCAACTATGAGAGACAGAATGGGGGG